ACCCTTGCTGCTTTCCAGGCTCAAGCTCACTCACCAACCTGGGTCGGGGGGGGCCTCTCTTTGAATGATTTGTGCACCCCTGTATTAATGTCCTTGCTCTCTTTTTGGTGCATGGTAACCTGTCTCAGAAAACAGAACCTGGATTTCACAATTGTTTATTGTTTCCTGTCACATTTGTATTCATTTTTTTCAAAGTAGCTGTTTCCAAGCCTTCCTACTTTCTTTTTTTTTTTTTTTTCATTTTTCTTTTATTATTCATATGTGCATACAAGGCTTGGTTTATTTCTCCCCCCTGCCCCCACCCCCTCCCTTACCACCCACTCCACCCCCTCCCGCTCCCCCCCTCAATACCCAGCAGAAACTATTTTGCCCTTATCTCTAATTTTGTTGTAGAGAGAGTATAAGCAATAATAGCCTTCCTACTTTCTTATGTGTCTCCACTATATAAATAAATATTAATTATTTACAATTATTTCTTAATTAATTAGAGTACATTAATTAATGTACTAATTAATCTAATGTTACATTAGAGTAGCCTGTACATTCTAGGAGGTGGTGACTTTATATAATTTATTTGTGCCATAGCTCAAAACCTAGCATGTAGGTACAGCTCACCTTTCCAGCAACCTAATCTCAAATTTACAAAGATAATGAAGGCTGTCAGATTTGATGCATCTCAAGGATGTCTTTTCCCTGACCATTTTTCTCTGTCTTCACCCGTCACTCTCTTCACTCTTGTCCTTAAGGAAGACAAATTCTTCCACCTCTTGGTTCCTCTCTAAAATTCCCCTTATTTCTGAATACCATTGTTTTGCTCTTTGATCTCACTTTCCTTGTTCTTTCCCTCTGCTTGCAAACACCTCTGGAAAGATCCTGCTTTGGATTCATGTGGGTCTGGTTGGGAACCCTGGCTCCAGCATTGTAGAAATAAATTGAGCTGGGATTTTGTAAAATCCTGAGCAAAAAGCATGGCATAGAATAAATACATAAAAGCCCCTTACCGAAACCCAAAATAAAACCATGCCTTCCATAGGCTCTAGCACTTTCCAAGTCTAGTGTCAGACAGGAACTCCTTCAGTTTTCACCTAAAATGAGAAACTTCCCTGCCTTCACACAGTCTTTGCTCTTTCTCACCATCATAATTCTGTGCTCAGGCCTATTCTGCCTTTTTAGGGGATGTTGGGTTTTTTTCAGTTAATATCTTTCTGTCTTTTAAGTTCAATTCCTCTTGCTCAACAAGTCTTTTCTGATCAGATGAACATTTAAGCATAGTTAAAGCTATCTTGAAAACAAACAATGAAAGTCCCTTCTGACCTTAAGTTTCCTTCTAGTGATGCTGTCTAAACTCTACTTCCTTCTCTGCCAAATCTCTTGCAAGAGACATCTGAATGAACTGTTTCCACTTCCTTTCCTCTCATTTACCACTGTGCTTACTATGGTATGGCCAGGGCCCCTCACACCACGGACATGATTCCTGCCCACACGGCTGACTCAAATGGCCCTTCTCAGACCCTATCCACCTTGACGTCTGGGTAGCTTTGGACACAGTGTCTGCTTCTTTCTTCTCATAGTGTCCTCTTCCCTGGTGTTTTGTAGTGTTGGGCTCTTTCACAGGTCTTTTGATGTACATTTATCCTAAAAGTATACCCAATAATTTTTAGCTATTTTATTATTATTGCTAAATCCCAGTCTTTCTAAACTATTTGTTTCTCAAATCCACTTTCTTAATTCTTACCTTCATCATGTGGTCCCCTCTTTCTGAAATTCTCTTCTCTATCTTCCCCTTCCTTTTTTTGTTTAGCTTCCTTCTCCTCAACTTCCCTTCCCAGCTTCGAAGCCTCTTCCTCCAGCAGGTCTTCCTTCCCTCCTCAGAGGTGCTCCTCTGGGTCCTTTCATAGCATTCTGTATTTTCTCTATCATATAACTTATCAAACTATGTTGCAATTGCTGTAATTATGGTTTCTTGGCTTATACTGACCTCTGATAGCAAGTCCTATGTATGAGACCATGCTGTGCCTACTCTCAGCACTTAGCAGAATGCCTGGGTAATGAACTAATGAAAGCAGTAATGTTGCCACATTGGATTAGGAGTTATTATTTATTAATTATTATTTTTTTGTGGTACTAGCGTTTGAACTCAGGGCTCCACACTTGCTAGACAGGTGCTCTATCTCTTTAGCCATTCCACCAGCCCAGTATATCATATCTTAAAATTACTAATACTGTGCGTTACTAGTTGAGATCAGATAAACTGCTCTCTCGGCATCCTCCTCCTCTTCCTTTGCAACTGGGAAGAAGGAAAGCCAGCTTCCCGAGGGCACTGTGCAAATTATCTCATCTCATCCACACAAAGACCACCAAAGCTAGAACTTGGATTAAAAGAGACAATGCTTGCACCTATCTAGCTGGGGGCCAGATGGAGTTTCCTTAGCATGGTTGTCTTTATTAAAACTGTGCAGGAAGGCAGAAGTTTAATTTTCTTTCCTTATCTCTAACTACATTTAACTTGCTGTCAAGCATCTGTTTTTGTTTGGTAAAAAACAAAACAAAATCTAATCTGAACAGCAAACTTGAATGTTCCCATTCAAAGAATTTAGTTTCTTCTGGCTTAAAAACAACAACAGGCTCTTCTGAGTCACTCTTAGCTCCTTCTCTAGAACAATGCAGTCTTGGAGGGTCCTCCTTCCTTCCCTCTCCTCCCCACTCCAATGGAAAGTACATGGAGAAGGAAGTAAGTCCTATGTGATTTTGCTTGTTTGTGGCATCTTAAAGAGCTGACTTCATAGGTGAGAGTAGGAGGGTTGTAACCAGAGGCTGGGGAGGATGAGGAGGGAGAGATCAGGAAAGGTTAGTCAAGGGGTACAGTTCAATATGAGCAAAAATTTCTGGGGAGCTATTGCACCATAGGCCGGTTCTACACAATAATATTGTATTGTGCATTTTAAAAAGCTCAGGGAAAAAAGGATTTTAAAGTTTACCATCAAGAAATGGTAAGTGCTTTGAGGAGTTTATTTTTAACCTGATTTAAACATTATACAATGTGTATATGTATCAAACATGTTACCTTGTTACTATGTCTAATTTATATACATATGTATATCATTTATTATATAGCAATTAAAAAATAACTTTACTTAAAAATATAACCCTTGGGAAAAAAGATGGAGGCAAGTGGGGAGGCTTCTGGCCTGTGGGCATTGGGTCCTCTGTGGGTCTGCTGCTGGTACCTGCTCTGAGTTCTCTTTTGCTAAATCAGCCCCTACATCCTTAGTTCCCAAGGGTGCTGGGTCTTAGTGGCTTCTTCAGCTTCAGTGGGTTTTGCATCCAACCTCTCCCTGTAGCCCTTGCCACAGGTGTTCCTCTGCAAACAGTGGTGATCTCCTGGCAGATGTGCTCACTATCAAATCCAAGTTTAGTCTGGAGCCTGTGGAAACTTCTAGATCTCCTCCATCAGGAATTGAAGGAGTAAGGTGTGGGAGGGGTGCCAAAGGACTGTCTCAGACTGCCAAACTTAAACCTCTCTGTAATTGAAAGCTCAGCACTGGTAGACCCCTGAAAATCCTTTTCTTTGTTGAGTCCCTGGCTCTTGCAATGAAAAGTGGTGGCTTTTATGATTATTCTTCTAGTGTGAAAATTAAAATACTTTTTTTTTGAGTCAGATGTGGTTGGTACATGCCTGTAGTCCCAGCACTGAGGAGGCTGAAGCAGGAGGATCACAGAGTCAAGTTCAGTCTAAGCTATATAGTAAGTTCCTGTCAGGACAAACAACAAACAAAGAAACAAGTGAACAAGCAAAACATTTATTTTGAAAGACAAAGACACATAATGACTTTTTATTAGGAGAAATAAAAGTGGCTCAGCAAAAGCACAAGCAAACATTTAAATACCTCAACACTGTGGCACCATAATCCACTGAACGGCCCTGGTCAGTGCATTGTCCTGGTGCATATCAGTGGCCTTCAAACATCTAGTTACAGTTCACCCCTCCCTCGTTCTCCTTTGTCGCTCCCTCCCCCTTCTTAGAGTAATCTGAACAGGTTCTAGAGTAATTTTTAACAGCACAGCTTTTCTTTGTTTTAGGTTATATTTGCCTTTCCCCAGAGGACACTTTCTAGAAAGTTATAGCGTCATTCAACTAGATGAGAGTGCTTTAAGGGTTAAAATAACTTATTTTAAAATAAAAACATTAACTGGAAGTGCAGGCTATAAATAAATATTATTTCCTTTCTGACTTGATGTGGTAACCCTGCTTATCTTGTGCTGACTGGAACCTCTGCTTGGCAGTACATCTGACATTGATTAATAAGGATAAAAGGGTATGTTAACTGTTGAATTAGTTGGTACAAAAATTATAGCCAATCTTAATTAAAGCGTATAATCTCATAGGCAAATCTCAAAGTAAAGAATGGAATAAAACATCAAAATACAGGGCCTGAAGGATTTTCTAAAAGAGGCAGAGGATGTCACCCATGCATCAGAATGACATTACTGACTGAATTTCCTGAGGTTGTTTACATCCAGATGGTTTTTTGATAGCAGTAGAGGGGTTACGCCAAGACGTCCACATTCCTCCCTGGTTTGTCCGGCCACAGATTGTGTGTTTTTTCAGGATGTGGAATTGGATTAGGGTAGGGAATGGATTACACCCATTATCTTCACCTAATGAGCAACCCAGGCTCACCAGTAGCCCAGGGGACAGCCACCTCTGTTTTAGGGAATAGAAGGTAACTACTGAGGGCTTATTAGAAGTTGAGTAGAAGAAATATGGCTGACCTATATTTGTAATTGCTATGACTTTTTAAACACTTTTTCCTGATATCACTATGTGCTTGGACAAGAAGAGTGGCTTGCTCTGAGGGTACCTGTGTGCCATTGATGGGGTGTGGAGGATCATTGGGCTCGGATGGTGGGAAACACTTATATTATTATTACTTTTCTCTTTCTTCTAATTTAAACTTCTTCCTATGCCTCTTCTTTTCCACCTCCCTCCACATTTGTAGATGGGGTGGCTGCCTTCCGTGCTTTCTTGAAGACAGAGTTCAGTGAGGAGAATCTGGAGTTCTGGCTGGCCTGTGAGGAGTTCAAGAAGACCAGGTCAACTGCAAAGCTTGTCTCCAAGGCCCACAGGATTTTCGAGGAATTTGTGGACGTGCAGGCCCCAAGGGAGGTGTGTTGACCCTGTCTATCATCTTGTGTGACCTCTGTTCAGGGCTTCTGGCTCACATTTCTCCTCAGGGGCCTTTGAATTGGGCACACTGAGGACTTCTTCTACTCCACTAAGCCTCACCTTTTGGTGAAAAGGGATTATTTTTAAGGAGCAGAAGCTCAGAGTTTCTTTGTGAAGCAGTTGTACTACTGCTTGAGCCATGACTTCAATCTGTTTTTGCTCTGGTTATTTTAGAGATTAGGGTTTTGAGACTATTTGCCTGAGCTGCCCTTGAACCTTGATCCTCCTGATCTCAGCCTCCTATGTTGCTAGGATTACAGATGCAACCAGAGTTTCTGTCAGAGGAGCACCACTGTCTATCTGTCTGTGTTGACAGGAGCTGTACTGCTACAGGAATTTTGCAAGAATAGATTTCACTGAGTTCATGTCTGTTTTCCTTTTAAAAGGCTGCATAGTTTAATGGAATAAACATCTGCTTTCTTCCAGTCTGAACCCCACTGCTAACTTGCTCAATCTCATTTTCCCCAATGGGAAAGGAAAGAGTACCACCTACCCTTCAGTGCTACTAATATTACCCATAAAGCCTTGACTCAGTATTTGCCGCTGCTCATTAATGATTATTTAGTTATTTGTGTTATCCTATGACAATTATGTATAATAAGGTGAATTTCTGTGTATTGGTGTTCTGAGTTGTAATACAGAATTTGACGGTTTAGCTGAAGAATGGTATTTGTTGTGGATGAGTTCAAGGTCACTGCAAACCTAGAGCTCTTCAGTTATGCCTCGTAATGCTCGTTGTGACAGGGATGTGCATTCTAACCAGGGTCTCTCTGTATGGAGTATTTGTTTCCTTAGTAGTTAAGGAAAGACAAGAGGACAAGCATACAGGGATGTGTGTTAACCCCTGCCTTTGGGTCTAAACCATTGCCTAATGTGAAGATCCTTGGTTCTGTGATTAACTTTCCATACTACTTTAGATAAGTTTCTCAGTCTCTCTTTTCTTTAGTATCCTCATTCATAAATTGAATCTAAGAATATTTGGTCTTTAGACCTTACAGGATTCCAAGGAATGAACTTCACCAAAGCAGTTTGAAAAGTGTAAATCACCTTGAAGATATAGAATGCTGTCATTAATGGTTATTACATAGCTAGGGCCAGATGTCAGGTGCTTTGGCCCTTGAGGGCCTGTGACTTTGCTCTATGTTTATGTCTCCAGGTAAACATTGACTTCCAGACCCGAGAAGCCACGAGGAAGAACATGCAGGAGCCATCCCTGACTTGCTTTGACCAAGCCCAGGGAAAAGTACACAGCCTCATGGAAAAAGACTCTTATCCCAGGTTCTTGAGGTCCAAAATGTACTTAGATTTGCTTTCCCAAAGCCAGAGGAGGCTCAGTTAGACCTCAGATGGGGACTCTTGGAAATCACTGGCTTTCCCCTCCCTTTGCTACCAAGACCATGTTCTAATGTAAAATGTCATAGGTGTTCAAAGGTGGTGGCATTTGGAGTGGGAGACTGGGGATGAGGAGGGAATGAAGGGCCATGCCAAAGTGTGATTCCAGCTGCCAGAGCTCAGACTGTCTTCAATTTACCCATGTCTGTGTTTTGGTTAGTGGTAGCACTGCCGCTGTCGCCCTTCTCTGGGCAGGCCAGAAATTTGCCCTCCATAATGCCTTGGGTTGTTTCCCCTGAGAAGGCAGATTTGCTGTGCTGGGTTAATTTGTAAATATTGCAAATGTAGTTTCCACCACCTCCATACCCTCCTCAGTTAGGATCCCTGACTCTCTACTTGTCCTTTTCCCCTGGGAGGAGTAGCAAGAACTTAAGCTCTCATTTGTGATTTGCTGTCACAGTGGAATGGCTAGCCCTGTGTGCTGGGACCTCAGAGCTTAGGAGATAGGTCTCTTGGGAACCCAGGTTTTTTGCACCCTTGGCAGGTGACCTCCGTGAGAGACGGCGGACTCCTGGAATCAGGAGTGTCTTCCATTTCCACTGGACCAGTGTCAGAGTCTGTGATCACTGCTCCTCTTAGCCTAGGAAATTCATGGAACTTCCTTACCCTTGCATTTCCAGAAAGGGTCTTGGGAGATTTCCTTCAAGGGGATTTCTAAGTGGAGTCATCATGAAGAAAGGTACAGCTTGCAAATCTTCCTCAGTTCTACCAAGAACTTTTACAGAAGCCGAATGACCAGGGAATGTAGCACCATAGACTTGTGCAATGGGCTCCATGTAACCCATCTGTTGCTTAGTGTATTCTCTGCCCTCACCTCCCTGTGACATCACTCATCATTGATCTCTTAGGATGAAAGATGGCTTGAAAAGGGAGGTGAATTCTCATAGCATGACAGCTCTCTTAGTGCCTAACACTTTCCCTGTCTCTCCACCTCCCCGGTTTCATGCAGGCCATGTAATTATGCTGGGGGAGAATAGGAACTTAGGCTGAAGCGCTCTTTCCAGTTTGCTTCTCAGGAGCGTGCTTTCTTAGAAAGGTCCCTCCTTGGCCATGAAGAAGCAGCTGCTTTCTTGGTCTCTGGACTTTGGGATTGAACCTGAAATAGGAAGATCACCGTGAACTTCTGGTTGTGGAGACCTTCCTAAAACAATTTCATGGTACCCTGCTCTTGGAAATGTGTCAGAGAACTCTTCCTTGAAGAATGCATGAAACAGCATGGAACCTTCTCTTAGTCACCTAGGAAAAAATTGACTTTGCTACAGAGCAGTGCCAAGGGGATGAATCCTTAGCACAGACACCAGAACGTGGAAGAAGAGCCTGGAAGATGCAGGTCTCCAAGTGGACAGAATCACGGAGAACATGGGGGAGGTACTGCTGGGATAATACACAATGAATGGACTTAGGTTCATTGCATATCTACAAACCTTTCAGCTTGACTGAATGGAACAGCACATGACTAGGTGGCTCTGGAGTGCAGGTGGTAGACAACTGGACTGAAGTACTCTTCTTTCGTGGGGTGCCGGTCTTTTTAGATTATGTTGGTAATCCAGGGTTTGCAATTTACCCATGTCTGTGTTTTGGTTACTGGAAGTAACTTGGAGAATTTCTTCCTCCCTTGGCTACAATCAGACAAAGGAAAGAAAGGCCCTTGAGTCTCATTAGGGTTAGTGCCCACTGCCTGCCATGGCACACTGTCATCTGTGAGCAGGGTTTGGCATGTCTGTGTGAACCTCAAAGAAAGAGAAAAACACCAGTTTTCTAGGCCTCACACTGAAAAGACCCATGGAAATTCATGTTTAGGAACTCCAAAGCCTCAAATGGTATTCCTAGTTAGATCAGATAGAATCCCTCTACCTGGTTAAAAAAAAAAGATTCTTAGCTAAAGCTGCCAGAATTAATGTAATGATTAAATTCTCTGACAGGGTATTTAAAAACTGTTTACACATGAACTGTTCATTTGCTACCAACTCTGCTGTTGAGTATGAGGTATGTATACATTGGAACTGCACAGTTATGGAACTATCCTAGGAGGGGCCCTTCCACCATCCCAAAAAGAAAGGTCTGAACAAAAGTGTTGGATGGCAACCTCATTTGGGGCCTAGAGTTCTTGCCAACTATTGGCAGAACAAAAGTTGCAGATGGTCGTGTCATGATGCCCTAGTGACTCCTTTCCTCAGTGGAAGATGTGAAGGACCAAATTTGGGCATCCTGAATTTTGCAGCTCAACAAGGGCATGTGGCATGTGTCTGTGTGTAGAGGAGTGTGATAACTCGGTTTATGGTACTCCTGTAGAGCATATGTATGCATATGTGCATGTGTGTGTGTGACAATTGTGAGCGCTGGACTATGATCTTCCCAGGGGTGGCTTTCCTCACTCCCTATACCCTTTGATTCCCACAAAAGGCACAAAGCTCCCTCCTCTAATGCCTACTTTTAGGTACTTTGGTTGTGCCATGCCAGATTTTGGTCTGTGATGAAACAAAGAAAAATGTTTACAACATCTACAGCAATATCTAAGCATACCTCATCCTTGACCTTCCATTTCCCAGTCCTGCCCCTCTCCCATTTCCTCCTCCCTAAGCCTCACCCGTCTCACTAGGTCGACATCACAGATGCCACTTCCATTTAATGTCTTCCTTACTCCTCACCCTTGGCATGCACTGATGACTGCCTTCTGGACAGACTCAAGGCTAGCTTGGGCAGCAGGCTGGCAAAGCTGTGGCTTTGAAATCTGCTCTCAATCTCTGAGGGGCCTTTTGGTTCTACTGGAGTGCTAACCTGTTTGAGGGCAGGTGAGATTGGCTGTTGCCCTTGGTGGACTAAGTAGAACACAGTCATTGACACATTCACAGCCCCTGGCACCTCTGGGGCGAGTGAGGAGGGATCCTCTGAGGCAATATTTCTTATTAAGTTGAGCTTGCACAAGGATCACCTTGAAAGCCTGTTAATATGCTATTTCCCAGGTTCCGCAGTCAGAGATGGCAATAGACTTAGGGTGGGACCCAGAAGTCTCAATTTTTCCATAAGCCTCTGGGTGGGTGTAGACTTTGAACAAGGATGGTCTAAGACAGTGACTGTCTACCTTGCATGTTCATTAGACTTACCTGGGGAGCGTTAAAAACCTAATTGTCCAGGTCCTCCCCCAAAACAGCTAAATCAAAGCATGTTGGTTGGGACCCAGGTGGCAGTAGTCTTTAAGGCTCCAGAGGTGTTTCCGGTGTGCAGCTAGGTTAGGAAGCATTGGTCTAAGGACCGAGGAGGGACAGAACTGAGGGTAAAACACAGTTATGGGGCTGGGGGTGCTACGGCCCACCCAGATGCAAAAAGCACAATAACCAGGACACCTGCCCGATCTAGAGTTGGACTCCTAGCGTAGCTGTCACTGTACCCATTAATTCTGATTTGCTCCTTTGGGACCAGTGTCTGGCCTAAGCTACATACCCTGGTTGGCAGCAGGTGAACTGGGGTAGGGAGCATAAGGGACACTTGACCGAGAGATGCTTTGCCATGCTTTCTAAGTCTTGTTCACGTGCTTCCTCCAGGCTTACCTCATGGGCTATGTCCCCATTTGTTTGTTTTTATGTGCTCTTGTGTTTGGCCACTTTGTGTCAGACTGTGCCTCTGTACCAAAGGCCATCAACAGGGTAGTTAGAATTCAGGTAGTGAGTGAAGAGTCTGGTAGTGATAATAGTAGGCACATAACCACTTCCAAATTTCTCAGTGGAGGGTGTCACGTCCTAGGGAGTATCAAATCTGGAAGGCTTTTCCAAGACAACAGTGGGATTTGGTTCCTGCTCCAAAGCCCTCACCATTCCCTCTTTGGTCCTACTTTGGATGGGCAGCTGGGAAGCTGCTAGCTGGTTTTATTCTCTGGTGCTCTCCCCAGAACTTGCTGCTTCGATAAACCAAAGCTGCGAAAAGGTGTTCTGCCTAGGCTGAAGGGCCAGCCTCTGGGTGTGGCAGGCCCTGTGTGGCCTGGATCCACAAGGCCTGGACAACGGAGAAGGGAAGGCATGAGCCTCATGTGCAGGAAAGCTGGGGGAGGGTGGGTATAGGGAAGACTGAAGAGAAAGGAGTGGGGCAGGAAAGACAAGCTGCTAGCATGGTGTCTGCTCCTCCATGTCCCAGAAGGAAAGGTGACGATGGACACATTCAGAAGCAAATGGTCTCACATCAACAGGAGTGTCTAGAACTCTGCCTATCCTATGTGTGCCCACCTCAGCCTTGAGGAATTATGGATTCCCATTCTCCGCCTTCAATCTGCCAAGTGTCTGCATCTTTAAATCCGCTTTCCTCTGGTTACAACAAAAGAAGTGACAGTGTCACGCCTGGCACTGAGAACTTGTGCCACCATGCCACTTGGTGTGAGACTGTGAAGAAGAAACCAAAAGCAGAGATGTCTTCCTGTGCCTCTGGCCTCTTAGGACTCCACTAGATGCTGATGCTATGGGCCGTGGTGGGAGACTTCAGGAGGGGCCAGTGGCCTTCCCAGGGTTCCTCTCAATAAACTGTTCCTTTCTTGGTTATTACTCCCTTTTGGTCCTTCTGCTCCTTCCTCTGTCAGGTGTGGAAAGGTGGCTGGGCTCCAGGTGCGCTCTGATCACGGTTGTAGTGTTAGCTGAGGCTCTAGCGAGTACAACAGATTCATAGCAGCTCATCTGCCATATAAGCTGCTTGGCTGACAGAACCCTCATTGAGTTGTTTCATTACCATATAAAGTGGAATAATATCACTCACCTTCACTATAAACAAGGCTGTGAAAACATAATAAACAGAACCTGAACAAGCTGCCCTTTGCTCTCTGCCCACATTTCTGGCTGGCTGACTCTTTATGAGGAAACTCTTCCCAGAACACGTGGACTCCTGAGGGGAGCATGTGACCTCACCCTGCAGAGGCTGGCACGGGGCTGGCCACCAGGAAAAGCAGGGGCGTGGGTGGAAATGGGATGCGGCTGGTCTGGGGATGAGCCTGGGGGTGGAGAGTGGCTTTGGGTTATGAGAGTGGCTTTGAAACTGTGAAGTGCTATACAAATGCCAGGTGGTATTTTTATTTGTACCACCTACTGCTTGAAAACGTAAGAGAGAAAAGGCTGGGGAGGTTTGTCTATTTGTTCAGCTGGAGCAATTTAAAAATGCAGTGGGTTGATCTTGCTCATGGCTCTACCTTACTTTATGCAATTGATGTGACCCTGAAAAGTGTGGATTAGTCATCAAATCTTTGACTGTCCCTGGTGCTCAAATCCCATGGAAGCAATACAGGGAGAATAAGGCCATAGTATTTGAAGGAAAAACTCATTCCTTAGGTGGAGCAATAAGATAGGCATGTACAAAACATTAACAATCTAAATAATTTAAAATGCTCTAGAGAAGGTACTCTCTTTTTAAAGGAAACCTGACTTTTCTTCAAAGGTGAATCCTTTGATTTAAGTGAAAAAAGTTTTGTTATGCAAATGATTGGCTCCAAATTCCAATTTTGTAGAGCAGGCATCAAGTGGTGGCAGATGGGGCTGCCATAGACAGAGGGGCCACCATGGGGAAACCATGTGACTGGTTTTTCTTTTCCCCAACTATGTTCTTCTATTT